AAAACATAATTGACAAAGGACTAGACAGTGATGGATCTTGAGGGACTGAGAGGCTTTCAAGCACTCCAATCTAAAACTCTCCCCCTCTAACACTTTCCTCTGGGATCTCTTCCTTTCTCTGACGGGAGAGAAATCATTCTGATCTCTGGTTGATGGATCAGTGTCTGCACACAGTACAAACCAAAGACGGTACAATTCCTATAGTTTAAGTAAAGTAGAAAAAGATGCAGAACATCTTAATAGGAGTCTTCGACCATAATGAGCATTGTCAGCAGGAATGTAAAAGGAAAATGGGCAAAAGTCCAGCAGGAGCAATCTGGCAGCTGGATTGTGTTATGATGAATATACAGCGTGAATCCATATTGGCGGAGATCAGACAGAGCTTAAGTGAAGGGAGAGGTCCCTTCTACAGGCATGATGAACATTTTGGCAACCCGACTATGTACGTCCCCGGAGTCGAGTCTGAGTAAGTCCATCCTGGAATGAAATCATGGCCACACATATAAACACACACACGCACACACTTACAGTACACACAGAGTGCAATACTTCCACCCTGTAAAGGTTTACACCTGCAGCCAGATGATGAAATTAAAATGTAGCACAAAGAGACTCTAGGTAATAATTTCTGACAATTTCTGACACACCTGGGACCAACAGCATTTTAAAAAATCTGTCAAACTTTTTGACAGACTTGGACTGCTACATGTGTGTAGCAGCAAAATTGGGGGGTTTAGCAACAATTTGCTTTCATTATTAATTAATACTTTCTATCCATTTTTTTTCACTGAATCATTTTATTGTTTAGTCTATAAAATGTAAAAAATAATAATGAGTGTCCAGTACAAGTTGCCACAGTCCTTAGCACCATTTTCCAAATGCTGATGCCTGGCTTAAAAAACCCCAAAGAGCTTCAGTGGTTTATAATGATATGAGCTAAAGGGAAGCTGCAAACACTCACACTACAGGATTCCAGCACAATACAGTGAAATTCAACACTATTCCTCTCTTGGACTAACAACTTCAACTATCTGACGCCAGTTTTCTACACAAACTTTAGTGAATGAACTAAATGAATCCATTTAATGTGGTGAAGCACACCCACGTGGTCCCGTGAGTAGGATGAAACAAACAGATATGCAGCATTCGACCTATGACTGACGTCCGGCATTCCTACAAATAAACACACACTGCAACAAGCACACTAACACACTCGCATAGTCAGCATTATCTCCCTCTCTAGCCATCCAGAAAACTTCATTGGTCCTCTTTTGCAGCCTGTGAGCCATCTGGGAGGGAGCGGCGACTCTCCGGCCAGTGGATTACATCAGCTATGATGTCATTCTTCGGGCTGCCACTGCACCCCATACGCCCACACCCTTGAAACTAGCAACTCAAACGCACATTCACACATGCAGACTTGCATGCACATCTACACGGAAGACAAAGACACCAAATATTACTGTTAATAATGAGATTAATGTGTGAAAAGATTAATAACGCATTATTCACTGTGGTAAACAAAAAGAAATCAAGTCAGAGAGACTGGTTTTAGTCTGATAGAAACTAAAGAGATAAGATGTCTCATTTTGAGTATTCCTAGGAATGTTGGTCATTCATGGCTGACTGTATGTTAATGTCTTTCTCTCTCTTCATCCTTATGTATTTTTACTCCTTCGGGTTCTGGCTCTTTCCTTGCCTCTCTCTTCTCTCTGGCAAAGAAGCATTTTCTGAGTTGTTCCCTCAAAACTCTATTTCTATGTAATATTTATTCTGTTCCTTTCTGTCAAATAACCTGCTGTAAACTCTCTAAGCCTCAGGCCTCCTGTCTGTGCTTTCTCAGCCAATCTGGCACATAAAGAAGGTTAAAACAGACTTAGAGAATGATTTTCAATCAGTGTGTCAGCCAATTCGATGTTTTATGCAAAACTGATAAGAAGTCCCAAAGTCTTTGCCGAGCAGGAAAAGAGACAGCGACCACATGTTGCCTTTTCAAAAAGACCAACAACCATACCAAAAACAAGCCACTCTGAGCTTGGATTCAGCCATTCATGCAATTCTTTTTTCTTATTTAGCTGCATTTTCAGGATTTCTCTTTAACCAAATTAGAACTGTTTCCACACCCCTCCCTTTGCAGGGCACAGTCACCTTGTGTGAACCAGCAGATTCAGTGTTTGTGTTCTCAAATGGGATGGTGGACACTCTGGAAAAAGTAACTCCACACCCTCCTCATACTCTTGTACCATTTAAAACAAATACTTTCAGTAATTGAATTAAACATCCCATGACAGATGATAAGAGGCAAATATATTTAGTGCAACGTACATATGCCTGTTCTTGCTCATCACACATTCATACAGGCAATCCATACTTAGACCAACTGATGTTGCTACTAAAGTGCCCATACAGAGGAGTCCAGTATTAAGCAGAACAGAACCAAAAATGTGAGTTATTATCTCACTCAAAGTTGCTACATGTGATTCAGGCTGCTGTGTGACGTGTTTTGGGCTGGTCCTTTAACTGAAAACACTCTGGCATGCCTGATAGGGAAAGATTGCACACATGTGTGTGTGTGTGAGTGTGTGTGTGTATGTGTGTGTGTGCATTTGCTCATGTGTCAGTCTTTTGATCTGCAGCTCGTCTTTTGTTGTTTTATGTTGTTATCAGAGAGATTCCTCTTCTCTTCCTGTCTCCCACAATGCTCTGCTGTCTTTATCAGGCTGCACTAGAGGTAGAGCAGCGCTGGGATGTGAAACCTCTATCGTCTCAGTCCCTCTCTCTATTTTGTAACTCCCTTCCTTTCACTCCCCTGCACTCCTTCAATCTGTTGCCTTGAAGCTCTTTCACAACTTGTTTTCTGTTGTTTGTGTCGTTTTTATTCTTGCAAGTGAGAGTGCCAGGCTCAGTCAGCTGGTGTGTTGATTGATCAGTCAGTTCAAATTTCATGGGTCCACTTCATTTTCCATTCAAAACGGGTCAAGTAGGGTCCTGCTATAACTGCCACGAGGCTGTTTTAGGGTACACTGAGCGGATCTGCCTTCAGCTCTCATCACGTGAGGGACAAATATGTTATTTTGAGTCGAGAAGAAGTGTGAACCGTAAAGTTCAGGAAAAATTACATGTATAATATTTCTATTTGAGTGTAGTGAGGTTGGGTTTAAATACACTCTCCTCAGGTTAATATATGAATTTTGGGTTCAGGTAGGTTTTTCCGTTTTTGAGCACATCGACTTTTGTGATCTCGCAAAGTATAAGCATCAGAACATTCACTCGGCGCTGGTTGGCAGGATTTTAATATCAGAAGGGAAAGTTGTTGTGAGGCGGGCAGGGCCGCTGCATATTCATTTAGCATGATTAGTGTCAAATCACTTGGCGACAAGTATGATGAACTCACAGGCGGTAAGAGACAGGTGGAAATGAAATCAAATTAAAATTTGCAACAGTTTTTCAGAAATGATTTTCGTGACTTGTATCCAAGCCAGAAAGTAATATTGCATGTTATCTCTGCCTGAAAACCTTCACACATCGATCTCCGTTAGAGAATAAAGTAAGAGTTGTTTTTTTTTGTACAGGAAATGGAGTGGTCTGCAGCCTCTGTTGGTCTATGTGTAAGTGAACAAGATCTAAGCATTCCTGACAATGTAAATATGTGGTTCCCCTTGTTTCTGTTCTATATCTTTCCATGTTACTAATTAACTTACAGTACATGTCCACAGACACAACTACTTCAACAACCAAATTCGTCTCTACCAGTTTACATGCCACATCAACTCATATACTCTGAGCAGGGTATCGGGTTACTCTGTGAACGGACAGAATCGCTTCATTAAATATCTTATTAAATAGGTTATTTGACAAAGGGCTATGTGACATATTTCAGTGTTTTAAGTAGTATTGGGTTACTCCTTCCCCTGGGCTATAACATATTATGATGTGCGCAGGTTGCTTTGTGCGGGGCCTGGGTCACGGCCTGCTAAATATTTGGGGAGGGCGTACACGCCCCTGCAGCCCTCCCAGACTGAGGGAGACACGATAGAAATGACAATGAAAATAAACAAACGCAGCCTTGGAGATAGGAGATGGACAGGGCAGGTCATTGCACATAAAGTTGATCCAGTTTATTACTGGGAAGTGATTATCTAAGATTACTGGTTTAAATCTTCCATAAGACCACAGTCCTCTTTAAAGAGAGCAACATTTTGAATAGTCCATTACTGTAAACAATGAGACAAATGAGCCCTACCTTTGTGTCCATTAGCTTCTGCTACAAAAGACGATTTGGCATCGGGAGGTTCTGAGAGAAACTTCTTGCGTTTGTCTTGAAGCATCACAAACCAAATTTATAAATTCAGAAAGCAGGTGCATGTACTTTATGTGAGTTAACATTTCCATGGTCTCACCTGATGGGTTTTAGAATAATGAGAGAAACAGAGAACGAGAGAGAGAGAGAGAGAGAGAGAGAGTATGTTGAATATCTGTGTGTGTGTGTGTGTGTGTGTGTGTGTGTGTGTGTGGCTCCTATGTGAAAAGCCCATGTAGGTGTCCCCTGTGTGTTGACAAAGGGATTAGTTTAGGATCAAGTAGATCTTGCAGAGCCATGAAGACATCTGCAGACAAGAATTTGCACACACTGAAACACACACACACACACACACACACACACACACACACACACAGAGACTGAAAACTGACCCCACACAAACAAGCTTACCTTCTGCCACCGCTGAAGAAACAGTACAAAATCCCAGACACAAACACACACAAACATTGCCACTACTTACCACACAGACCACAGGAACAGCACCCAAAGTCACACTGTGTAAATACACAACAGGCTATTGACAGAACAGACACAGTCTCTCACACGCACACACACACACACACGCACGCACGCACGCACGCACGCACGCACGCACACGCACACGCACACGCACACGCACACGCACACACACACACACACATATATTCTTATATATGTATATATGTATATAAACACACACCTTCTGCCAGGGTGTTGTCCTCTGAGTGTCCATTCAGGCTGGTCATGCTGGAGATCTGGCCATTTTTCTGCAAAGACTGAAAAAGAGACAAGGACACTCTGAGTCAAGAGGTTTGTTTGCCTTTTTGGTTGTTTTTTTTATCTGAATGCAATGGCGCACATGAGCGACAAGTTCAACATATTAGGAAATACTATGACTGGATTCAATTTCTTTAATAGACTTAGATGAGATCGATGCAGCTCTCTTCACAGAGGTGGTGTTCAACTACAGTTTGTCGCCACTCGCCCTCATACACTCTGTAATGCTTTTAAAAATAATGCCAACCAGCAAAGACAACCGGCCCATCATGTTTTACGATCAGCCTACAAGAAGCTGTTAGAGCCTTAAATGGCATGTGTGCTGCCACTGCTTTCTAAAGCCATAAATAGTTTAATTATCAGGCAGGACAATTTATTGGTCAAAGACGAAAACACCAAAACAAGAACCAAAAATGGGTTGATTCACCTCAGGCCACTTTCACAAGGACTCATTAAAATGATTATGTTGTTAAGTCAGCTGATTTTGTTTGACACTAAAGTTAGCAATCAAGTCTGAAAAAGAGCAACAGAAATCCAACACTAACCTGTTAACATACCAACACCACAGCAATTAAGAATATTATAGGATTACTGGTGATACAACAGATGATTAAAAAGTACAGTATTACAGCCATTTTTCATTATGGACACACTACAAGTGTGTTAACAAGATTCGACCTGGCTAACGGAAGTGGAGCTGAAGCTTGACAGAGTTTTTTTTTTGGCAGCAACCAGCTCAGACTGACAGCCGTACAATAGCAAGCAGAGCCAGAGCTTTTGTCTGTCCCGGCCAGGGGAGAGGGAACCAGAGCCTCCCCACAGAGCTGCTAATCTAACTAATGGACAAGTCAGGCTCCATTCCCAGCAGCCCAAAGTCCTGCAGGAAAGTCCTGAAAAATGACACCGCAGAGAAGGCACTCTGCTGGGGACAGATTGGAGAGAGATTGACTAAAAGATGAGAAAAAGAAAGTGAGAGCAGGTTGGAAGAGTGGAGGGAGGGAGGAGTAGAGCTGTCCTACATGGTGCTGTAACTGTTTGGGAGGAATACAACAAAGACCTCTGCAGAGAGGGGAGGAGTGTGTGTTACTGCATCCAAACAAAAGAGAGAGAAGACGAAATGAAAATGTTCAGGGATGTAGAAATGATCAAGCTGAAGTTGTGAATACAATCTAGTAAATTCTCTCCCATATTTTCGTTTCTTATGCGCACCCTGTCCACCTGTCAGACAATCCCTGATTTGACAAGTATAACGTTTACAGTTCCAACTATTAATCATTTTCTTTTTCTTTTTTTTCCATAATGCTTGTTTTGTCCAACCAGCAGTCTGAAACCCAAAGATATTAAATTTACAAAGATACAAATAATTTCTTATTTGGAACCAGGGAATGTTTATTATTAATTGATAATCAGTTATTCAAATAATTGGAAGCACTCCAGTCAAACTTCGATGTGATTCTGTCGCGGTACATTTGGCTGCATTATGTGGAAAATCTGGACACAAACACACACACCTAAAATACACTCTTGCTCTCTGTCAATACTGCAGCAACCCTGGCCTCTCCTAGTTCATTAATTAGGCGGCTACATTTCAGGCCAACGAACTTGAGTCACTCATTTGTTGGATGCACAAAATATCAGGATTTTGATTGTGTTAGCTTCTTTTCTGCCAAACTCCTTCAGTGGTGAGGCGGCTTCTACTGCAAGTGACTGTGATTGGCTGCAGATGTAATCAGACATCTCAGAACAAAAAAAATAAAATAAAAACACAATACAGCTATGCTTTTTATTCTTGTTCAGTGCGAGCCAAGTGCTCCCACCCTGCTAACCTCGTAGAGACACGGAGAACCCCTCGCAGTGAGGTCATGCGCAATTCGGTTCCTTAAGTGCTCATGGTGCCCTTCTGTCTAAAAGGCTTGATCCACCCAGGAACACAACAGTTGAGCAAAAACATGCGAGTGTAAATCAGAGCACGGTTTATGTAGCTACTACATCCTCTTGGGATAAAAGAAAGGAGATGGATGACAGTTGACATTTATTTGTGTAAAGCAATGCCGTGACCATTTGCAACCTGCATGCGAGCAGGGCCCACATGTTGATTCTTTACAAGAAATAAGAAATATATTTGAAGTTTCAGATTCTGCATATGAGAGGCCTTCACACTCACACACATAAAAAGCTGATTGGTTCAAATGGTTTCACGCAGAGGAGGGCGACCCTGTCACTTTTGTCCTTTTAAAGCAATCAGGACCTCTGATCAGATTTGGTGTGTGAGCCCACAGCTGACCTCCAGACCTGCAGCGACCCCGCCCTCCCCTGGCCTACCTCATGACTGGCATTCCCAGCATTCCTTGCCCTCTCTTCACCAAAATTCCACAGATCACCCCCAACACCTGACTCTTCCCTCTTTTTTAAGCCCGCCTCCCCCAAAATGTTCACCCTTGGGCCACCTCTGTCTTTAAGTTACTTCATAAGCCCCCTCTGACCCCCGTCAAAATGCCACTCCTTCTTACGGGTGTCAAAAATGTTGCCGCTATATTCCCACCGCAGCAAGTGCAAGCAATGGCAAGAGAATCTGGACTGGCAGGGAGGGACTCGGGATCGGGATAAATGAAGTTATTGGGCCATGGAAACTCCGCCCAGTGTAGGAAGTATTGTGTCCCATCACAAACCTGCAACGAATATGTGCCTATTCATAAACTGTAACCGCTCTAACCATACCATAACAATATTTTATTTGCTATAAAAACAATATTTTTCTAACGATAACTGCGCCAGTTTGCATACACAGATATTGGATAAAGAGAGGAGATTTTTAAAAGATGTTGCCATTACACATAAAAATTGTTGTCACTGAACCTTTTGGGGTTTTGGAGAACGATCCACCATCAGTGTTACTGTGCGGTGACAGGAGTGTGAGACTTTGATGCATGAATGTGGATGTAAATGTTTGATGTCATGTCGTTCTGTTACTGTTCAGGGCTGACTAAATAACATTTTTTAGAAGGTGTGTATCAGAGTGATGTTTTTTGGTTTTGTCGCAAAATGGAAATAAAATAAATGTTGAATGTACATTTTGAGAAAATTCAAGGTTAAAAATAAAGGTTAAATTGGATCTACATGCCTGTCCGACTTTTACTTATGGACTCTTAGGTTTAAACTTTTCACCTTGCTTCAACACTTCTGGAATGAGTCATCAATATTTGTGTTTAGCGACTCTCACGTAACCAAGCAAGGAAAGAGGATTTCAAGTCCCTCTCGTACAGAAATGACTCAGAGTGCAGGGAGGAGGTGAAGGAATTATAAGAATTACAGTTTTAGTTTATCATTTCAGTGAACTGAAACTGAACTGACCCAAAAACTGATACCGGTACTTCGTCGTTGTTCTGAGCTGCTTTGAATTCCTTTCAGTTCAAGTCCCCGGATGGAATATGTAAGTTTCACTGCCAGTTGTGCATTTTTTGACGCCTGTCTGGTCAACATGGTCTGCCACAAAAAGACCCAAAGCCAGACTTAGACCTGCTGCAAAAAAAAAAAATGCATGAAGGAACAAAACATCTGCTACAACAAAACAACAGCAGGGGCGAAAAAAAACAACTAACTGTTTTGTTTTCTGTCTGGTTTACCATGTAACATGATCAAATTTAAATTAGTTTAGCAGCCATAATTCTATTTATAGATAGATGTGTCCTTTCTGATCTGCATCTATAGGCTTAGAGGATTCATGGGCTTGAGTAGTGCTTTGAGTTTACTAAGTTCACTAGGTGCATTAAGCCTCAAGGACAAAGTATCAGTAAACTACTCCTGCCTCTCTTACAGCCTCTTTCCGTTCTGCTCATTTGTTCTTGGTCTCATCTCCATTTATCACAAGAGGCTTAATACTCACAAATAATGACTTTATCCCTCGCCCTCCCTCTCTGCAGCCTCTTCCATTTAAGTGCTTATACACATCCATTAGGCAGCAAGCAAGACTTCAGACATAACAGAAATAACTGCTTGAGTAACATCGGCTGAAAAAAAAAAAAACTACAGCAACCTGCTGTTTAAGGAAATTACTGAATTAATCTATATATTTTGTGTCACGATTCTTAAAGATTTTCAAATCTTCAGTAGGAACCAGAGTAGTATTGCAAGACAGACATATACTGCACTATATCATTATGATCTTTTCATGGGATTTGTTGACAATATGTAAAATACTGACCAGCACCAGCCTTATTCTCGAAACAAAACAAAAATGGCATGTGGCATGTGTTTCCAAAGTGTCACGTTACCTGGGAGAAGGAAATGGTTTCACCCTGTCGAGCCCCCCCCTTGACATTTCACTTTAGAGTGTTTTTTTTTTACACAGTTGTGTTATTACTGATTTCACCTGTGCTGCAGCATCATTGCCTTCGACTAAGGTGTTGACGGAATAATTTGTTCATGCACTGGATCACTAAAGCATGCACACGTTAACAGTGCTCTGTTTCCATGACATGGAGCTGAACCTTCAGCTCATCGAGCCACAGTTCTTGGCCAGCAACAATATTTTTTGACTGGAAAACTCTGGTAGTAAGTGCATTCACAAACCTTCAGACATTTAAACATTGTGTGAAATTGTCTTTGGCGCGCCTTTAACGACAAACAAATACCATAAAAACAAATGCCTTAAGATAATAAACATAAAATCGTTCCCATCTGATTGCAGTAGCCAGCAATTTCAGTATCAGCAGTGTAAAAGATTAGATAGTCTCCTTTGCCATTTTCCTATGACCTTTATTTTTCTCACTTTACCACTCTTTCTGCTTTCACTTTCATCCCCAATTTTATCTTTCCTTCTTGTTTCCCTCTTATCTGCCTCTCTCATTTACTTCTCGGCTGCACCTCTTTACTCGGTGGCTCCTGAGGAGAGACGACCCGCTGTCTCCTAAATCACTCCACAAAGGCCAGCGGAGGAGATTTATATGCCTTAAACCAAACACAGTATGCAGGAGGAGGGGGTTAATGGAAAAGAAGAGGG